CTCAAAACCCTACAACAATATACCCATAGAACCCCTAATCGCGTAAAAAACCCCAAACCCCTAAAAGCCCAAAACCCTGAAAACCCCACAGCAGTGCACGCGTAGAAGCCTTAAACTCTCAAACCCCCAAACAATATACCCGTAGAAACCCTAAAACTGTAAAAGCCCGAAACCCCTAAAAACCCTAAACCCTCAAAACTCTAGGACAATACTCTCGATCCCCAAACGCCCTAAGCCCTCCAAACCCCAAAGCCACTTACCCGTAGAAGCCCTCAACCCGTAGAAGCCCTACACCATCAAAACCCCAAAACACTACACCCGTAGAAACCCTAAACCCGTAGAAACCTTAAACCCCTAAAGCCCTGAGCCCTCAAAGCCTCAAAACAATATTCCTTGGAAACCCCAAAACAATATACCCGTAGAAAGCCTAAACCCGTAAGAACCCTAAAGCCTAAAAACCCCACACCCGTGGTAACCCTAAACCCTCCATAAACCAAAAGACTCTACATCGTGCAGGCTTTATGTTTTTTTTGGGGGTTTGGGGGGGGGGGGGTTTGGGGGGGGGTTTGGGGTTATTTTAGGGTTTAGGGCGTGCAGGTTTTTTGGGGTTTAGGGGTTTAGGGTTCTGGCCCTTTAGGAACTTATGACGCCCATGGTCCCTGAACCATACGTTGTGATCTACTCGGCCAGGGGCTTGTTTGCATCTAACTTGACATTGGCCAACTGAGCGGCCAGAGCCAGCTGGCGCTGCCACATCTGGCTTCTGGATTAAAGACCGAAGCACGTCGGTCCTTCGAAACGTCGCAGTGGTCTCGAGCACTTGCTTGGCAGCCTGCCTGCGCTGCCGTGCTGCCGACTCGGGCCTATGCCATCTCAGCAACCCCAAAGAGCGGGGCCCTCTCCAGCTGCCGAAGACTTCGTGGAACAGACGGCCCAGTGCTGTGCTTCGCTTCTTTGCTCGCAGGCGCCAGAGGAGGGGCCATGCTACCGCAAGGCCGGGCCACAGGCCCTGGAGGGGCACTCAGGCGCTGTCACCCCAAAACCCAGCTAGGGTCCAGGCTGGCACCAGCAAAGCCGCGTCGCCTCAGACTCTGAGAAATCGGGATCGGCGTGGCTCCGCTACCAGGAAAAATCCCAACAGGAACTCATCCTGTGTTTCTCAGCCAAGGCCTTCATGATTTTGCATTCGTCACACACGCTGTGTGTTAGCTTATGACCTGTGATCCATGCTCGGATACCGGGATGGGACATCCAACAAAATGGGTAACATGAGTTTTTTCATGTTTTTTTTTCAGCTCCCAAGGCCAGGTCTCGAGTCGGGAATAGCCGCAGATCGCCCTGAGAGGAGCTCCAGCATCAGTTGCCTTGGCCATCAGGTAGTCCGCCAAACCGACAGCGGAGCCAACGAGAGCTTGCTTGTTGACCTGAACAATCCATGGGCGGAGTCATGCAGTGTTTCAGCTGCCCACTAGCTGCTCCGGGTGCTCGGAGGTGTTGCTTCCACTCCCTACCTTCGCCAAAGGCACGAGCCCCATCCAATACATTGTTTTCAAGGTAGCATGTTGTTTCTTCATCTCCTTAGCTTCGGCCTTTAGCCTCCTTGGTCCAGGTATGCAAGCTGTTAGTAGGGAATGGAATGACCTCCATACCCTCGGACAACTGCTTAGACGTGTCTCAACAATCGTCAGGCCCCAGAGCGGCTACCTCTGGCACGTCCAAGGCCTGATCTTGCAGGTGCTCGTAGCACATGTCTCGCAATTTTTTTTCGAACGTTGGGCCACAAAACACGGGGGTAACCTATTTGGATTCTTCTGTTCCATGGCATGCGCGGAGCTCTCAGCTCTGTTCGTTGTCCTTTCGCCACTTGAAAGCATCTTGTGTTGCGTGGCCTGAGAAGGGAAAACCTCAGAACCCTGAGTTGCATGCGAAACGTTGATTTGGACACAACAAGCCCACAATGACTGTGCCGTGGCACCGTGGCAGCGCGTGGCAGCGCAGGTCTAGCTGTGCATGTCACGCAAACAAGTCTTTCAGATTTTTGTGAGAATGGCCCTGACAGCGGTTGCAGCAGTTTGCTTCACAGCCCGGCAACAAATTCCTTTTTGGCTGCCTTAAGTATAAGACTTTGCATTGCAAGGAGAACCCAGCTTCCTTTCTGGCTGCCGCAAGTATAAGACTATTATAAGACCTCGCGCTGCAAGAAGAACCCCCCAAAGGTTTCCTAGGGGAACCCACTACATGGGCATTTCACAAGTTGGAGGTGCCCCTTGTATCTCCCAAAAGAATATAATCCCCGCTACAAGGAACCCCCAAGAGGAGCCTAGTTTCATCTAGTTTCCCTGTGCCGCGCTCCATTCTCATTGTCATGCTGTCTGACTACAGCGATAGTCCGGTTCTTACCGGCGTGGTTGCGCTTCCTTCGAAGAGGGAATGCTACCTGCTGGCGCAGACAGTGTTGAGGGGATTTGCCAGCTGGTTTTGCTCTCGTCCTGCGTGGACAGTGGGAGAGGCCAGTGCGACCCTTCGAAAACGTTACATTGAGATCCAGGACAAATATGATGGTGTTGCCGTCATAAACCGTGGATGCATCGAAGACTACTTCACAGAGGGAGGGCACCTCGGTCGTGGTGGATTTGGGACCGTGTGCAGGGTCGAGCCCACTGGACATGGACTGAGCCACTTCAAGCCACTGAGCCCTGGCATGGCCTACGCCATGAAAAGGGTGAAACTTCCCAAACGAGATACAGAACTCGAGTCACTGTCCAAGAGCTTCGTGTCTGTCCCCATGAGCCGCATGCTCGAGTTCCTTCAGGCCCTGGGTGAGGAGAAGGCGACGCGACAGCATGTCACTCGAAATCTGCTGAGGGTCTTGGACATGCCGCAAAGCATGTACATTGTCATGAACCTTCTGGAGGGGCCAACGCTGCAAGGTTGGATGACCTCCGTGGAGACAGCAGTTCCCGAGCGCACCTGCGCAGACTTGGCGCAGCAGATGCTCTCGGCAGTGCACTACTTACATCGTGTGGCTGGAGCCGTGCATCGTGACATTAAACCGGACAACTTTGGCTTTGTCCATGCAGTCCGACATATTGACACGCCAGGGAACGTACAGCTCTTCGACATGGGCTTGGCTTGGGTGCTGCCCGAAAAGATCCAAGAGTCCAGCGCAACGGACCTCCACGATGTTGCTCCTGGGGGCACACTGCGTTGGCTCTCGCCTGAAGCCTGGTGCGGACTCTGCGGTGCCTGCTCGGACGTTTGGGGGGTGGGATTGATTCTGCACACACTCCTCGTCGGAGACATGCCGTTTGGACTCCGCAAGCTTGAGGAGGAGGTGCAGGTCCGCAATGCTGTTTTCAAGCGCAAGTTGAACCTGAGCACCTCGATCTGGCGCCGTGTCTCCGAAGAAGCGCGCGCATTTGTCGACCAGCTCTTGGTCAAGGATGTCGCGGCTCGGGCCACCACGACTGCAGCACTGAGGCACAGCTTCATCCGAGAGGAGAACGTGCCTCCGTCACGGAGTTCGATGGTGTGCGCCGAGAACGTGCCACCGTCACCACAGAGTCCGAAGGTGTGCACCATGTACTTTCAGGCAGCAGACTGACCTGAAAAATAGTATGAGTGGCATGGGAACAGCAGCCGAAGCGGAACCTACTAGAGTTCGAGTATCCCCACAAGCATGATGTGCTAGTAGCTGTGATGCTAACGGGGTCGTATGGTCCTGACCTGAAAATAACAAGCTGCTGCTTCCTGGATATAGGCTTGGGCGCTACATTGCCAGCCTTAAAACAGTACGACCTACTGCATGTTGTAACTTTGCCTTTCAAATCTGCCCAGGGCAATTGCCCAACGATTAGCAGCTGCTAGAGCTTTTGCAGGAGCAAACCAGACCGTTGGCTGGCTCAACATTAGGCAGGTCAGGTGACGTGTGGATCTTTTCAGCTCATTGAAGGTATGGTTTGCGATTCTCCTCCCTGACGCATCCTATGCATCCTTTGAGAAAGGGAGATCATAAGGCCCTAAGAGGTCGAAAGGAATTCGGATGATGAGCCACGGAAACATGCCACTTGGGCACGCTTGGTTGCAGCGTCCGCAGAACTTCCTCGACCGGCCATCGTTGCACAATCCTAAACAGTGCCGTTGCATTGTTGCCTTATCTTGGATCTGTACAGCTGGAGACGGCGCCTCGGAGCACGACGCGCGAAGAAAAAGAGCTGACAACAGTTCTAGCGAGTCGAAGTCCTGAAGGATCCAACGCAGTCCCGAACGTTCCTGAACAATCCAACACAGTCTTGAGCGATCCTGAAGAATCCCGAAGGATCCCGAACGATCCAACACAGTCCCGAACGATCCCGAAGGATCGCGAACGACCGGCAACCTACGGTACTGGTTTCGATTTAAACCCTTAACTCTGAACCCCAAACCTACCTACACACCCAAAAGCGCCTTGAACACCCTAAGTATGCTAAATGTCTGAATGCCCTAGATGCCCCAAAATACTGTGCAAGGATACGGCACACTCCCTGGAAAAGGTTGCTGCTCATCAGGGGGTTGACAAGCTTCAATAGACACTATGTGTAAATGTCCGGTTTTGTTGGTTGGGTAGTTTGTCCTGGTGGTTTTCAATACAAATCCTTCACACTCCCAGCATTCTGCCGATAAGAAATGCATGCATTGCTGTACGCACGTTTCGCAGAGAAGTATGTCAGGTGGTCGTAGTTGTGCATGTCCTGTGGCCTGTACAAGGCACACTTGTTCACTTCAGCCCCTGCTCCTGTGCTGTTCATCCCATTGCTTTGATCTTGATCTTGGCTCACGAATGAATCTTGGGCTGCGATTCGTTAAGGTTCCATGCTGAATCAAGATCCGAATCAACCGGCTTTCGGCATCTTTCAGCCCCCCGGAATGCAGTGTTGCAAACAACGACCCATGCCCAAGTTCATGAACGTTGCCCGGAGAAAGCTTACGTAAAGCAAGGGCTGCTCTTCACGATCTGAGCCATGGAGGACCGGGATGAAGAAGTGTGTTTTCTCATGGCAATTTTACAGCCTCCGTTTCAGTAGACTGGGAGTGCAGCATGCAGTGACACGCAGTGTGAGCTATGAGCTGGTATGCCTCACATCGTTCCGAAGAACAGCATGCGCCATGGCCTGCTCTTGGTTTTGCCAGGCTCTGATGCCCTTTGGCCAAGACGAGGTTGATGCCCAAGAAGATGAATGTGTCGACGCAGAGGTCGCTCGCGTTCGCATGTTGCGTTGCAGATTGGGCAAATGATGTGCCGTGCATGCTGCAGTAGTGTGGCGGAAGGAGTTTCCAGTTGATGCACAAGGTGATGATCCCGAATTGGAAGCACCAAAAGCCAAAAAAGCGAGAACAAAGAAGCCAGTTCTGTGCCATGACATCAAGAAAATGTTCGAGTCGGGGGAGAAACAGTGGAGCCCTTAGATATACATGACTTTACGCCGTGTGTTGTTCCAGTGTTATTCTTGAACGATCGTTTGCTTGGTCAGGTCTGCAAATGGCGTTGTCGACGTGGATCAATGTTCCATGCCCACTGGAGGCATCCCATTGCCGAGCCCTGCACGAGCAATTGCACCAAGCCAATCTGGAAACTTGGTGCTAAGTGCCTTGAAAATCAAAGAGAGCTCCGTTCAGCAGGCCGGATTTGAAACAGGATTCGTGGCGTGTGGCATGTTTCGGCCATAGCAGTCACGAAGTGAAACCGTTGTCAGGTCCCTGAAGAGGGGATGGCTCCACCGCTGCCACGGCACGCAGCACCTGTTGGAGAAGTGGAAGCATCTGCGTCCGATGCACTTGACATGAAGAGATTGGAGCCTTCCTTAGTTCCCGAGTCTTTGTGCCGCACCATCGCGATTTGTGCCATCCCGGCAATGTTTCGTTGTGAACGGGGTTTTGACCGAGGAGCGATTGATCCTTACAGCGCCCATTGGCCTTCGACAGCCTCTGGATGCCGTCCCTCTGCTGGAGGCTGACTTGCCCTTGCTGGAATCCGGGAAGGCCTTGTTTAGACGCTTGCCGTCGGTTTGGCTGGACGTCACCGGGAACAACACAGCAATGGGGCTGCTCGGTCGCAAACATGATGCTATGATCTAAGCAATACACGGTCTGTACTATACGAGTTTGTGTTTTGCACTCTTGTCATGGGCTGCTTCAGTGCGCTCTTGATGAGGACGCGCTGTTTGTTCGCTTCAAGACGCCATGAGATGTCCGTTTTCGAGCCGTTGAAGCCCGAGCTTCTATTGCAGGCGGCTTCGGGCAAGCCCCCAAAACGTGCAAGTCGCAGTACTTCGGAAGGGGTACGGCCAGGTTCCTCCTGCGGCGAAGGAGTGGCAGCTGCCCCTAGATCTTCCTGGTGATGCACGGGTTGTCGAGGCCACCGGTTGAATCCACATCCTCAGTTCCACCCCAAAGTCCTACACACACACACAGCCTAAGATCCAGATGCCGAGTGAAGAATGCAGAGCACAAGTACAAGTGTCAGGACGAGGCATGGCTGCTTCAAGTTCACCCTGGCAATCAAAAGCTGCGGGTGCTTCTTCGACCAGGATTCTCATGTCGGCTGCGATGGTCTGCAAGTGTTTGCTTCTGAGACTTTCAGGAGTGTTGCTTATGCGGATGGTCCGTAGAGGCCGAGAGTGTATTCAGTGTGGCCACGCCTGGCATCACGTGGCATCCTAGTTCTATCTGTTTGCTACCTGGGCAGCGTGCGTATTTGCTGTGTCTGATTGCAGCAGAAGGCCGCACACCAGCTGCCCGGTTCGTTTGGCGGGTCATCGACTCCACAGAGAATGGAAAGGACGCGGAGGCCGTTTCGGTTTTGGGGTTCCAAAGGCATAGAAAGAGTAGGAAAATGGCATGCAGAAAACTCTCGCTCTCTCTCTGTATATATATTTCCCCCCAAAGAAGGTGCACCAAAGTACAGGTGTTTGAGGTTTAGGGCTTCGGGTTTTGGCGTAGCTGTATAGGGTTTACAGTTTTAGGGTTTAGGGTTATCTGTTTTAGGGCTTAGGGCTTAGGGGTTGTAGGGTTTAAGGTTTTACGGTTTTATGGTTTTAGGGTTTAGGGTTAGGCCAGGCTTCAGGGTTTAATTAGGGTTTAGGGGGGAGACCTGTATACATGGGGGCGGGATACCATGGGGGCGGAGGGGCGAGATCACCCTATGCGCTCGAATGTTTCCTAGTCTTCTGGTTCGAGGCTTCCCATCCTTCCTTCTCCATTATCTGTATTTGATGATATACAATAGATGAACCCTATGTACATACATGAAGTGGGGAATTCCTTTTCCTTTGCATTCCCACAGGAGGCAAGCCCTACACACTACAAACATAGGCATAACCATATGGGATGTCAGGCTTAGGGATCTAAGTGCTAACAACAAACCTCATAGGGTTTCAAGACTTAGGGATTAAAACCTCGAACCTACAGGGTTCGGGGCTTCTCTTTAAATCCCCACAGAAACTGCTCTAATAATCGTGTAGGGAAGGATATATAGCGCAGATCTCGGTCGTATTGTTGCACTGATCTCGTTCGTGTTGTAGATATGTATATATTATATACATGTCATATACATGTACTGCCTCACAACCACAACCCAGCCGCAACCCGCTCCAAGTTGCTATTACTGTGCAGTGGCCATACGGGTACGCTGTGAAAACCTATGCCAGCATGTGCCAAGCATAGGTTGCCACAGCGTCCTCTTCTGATTTTTTTGACAGAAATTGGAAGCCTTTAACCGGGGGCCCCGGGAACCAAGAACCAAAAACCAAGATTTGAGGGAGTCTTGTTCTTGGTTCTTGTTTCCCGGGGCCCGTGGTTAATAAAAATTTGTTTTTGCAATTTTATTTTTACTTTTTTTTTTCTTTTTTTAAATTATTTTGTGAATTTTATCTGTGGGCCCGGGTCCCTGAACTCTTGGTTCTTTGGTTCTTGGTTCCCGGGGCTGTGGGTTAAAAATCTGTTTTTAAAGATTTTTCAAAGTTTTAACCCACGGCACGGGAACCAAGCACCAACTGGCAAGAACCCCTGATATCTTGGTTCTTGGTTTTGGTTCCTGGGTCCCAGAGACTCAGGAACAAGTATTTGCACCGAACCCTTCCCCAAAGGCCCAGAAAGAGCATGGGTCTTTCTTTTTTTTTTGGGGGGGGGGGGGTACCATATATATGTATATGTGTATATACATATATTCAACAATTTACGTGCTTGTTGACCACATCTTCGAATCCGAACCAGCTTAAACCGTCGGCTCTCCAGGCCAAGGCGATTGAGGACAGATCGACTTCCCACCCAGTTGGGGAGTTCTCAATCTTGAGCAATCTGGAGGACCACTACTTAGGGTTTAGGGTTTTGGGTTTAGGGTTTAGGGCTGCCGGTGGGGACTTTGAGATTCACATGTAAGCAGCCATGTAACTTCGTCGGTTTTGGCTGCCAGGATGCCGCCACCACACAGCCACCTAACTTCGTGCAGCATCCTTTGCGCCGCGAGCAGCTGAGATCTTTGGGGTGGATGCTCGTGCAGGCTGGCAGGGCAGGAGAACTACTAAAGGTCTTAGCGTTCATATGCATTCATGAGCTTTGGGCTTAGGATATCGGCAGACCTGTGAGAAGACTGTGCTTCAGGAACAACGGAGCACAGAAGAGCCTTTCGTCACAGAGCTGCGGGAGGCATGCCGAGTGATGAAGCTTGCAAGACCTTGCTGCGTAGCACATGTGTGTTCTTAGCTTGCAGGCTGTTTCGTGTCCGGATGCTCCTCACTGGAAGTTGGAAGGACTGATTCCGATGGGGGGAATTCTTGAAGCCTCCAGACATGGTCCGGTTTGTCTTCAGTAGGACAGAACTTACAAGAAGAATGCTGTTCAAGAAACAGTCCTTGGCAGAGAAATAGTCGCCTCAGAGCATGCCAAGCTTTTCTCTTATCCCAAGGGCGACTTCCATGAACAGTTCGCAACTCGAAGCTAATGCAACGCTAATGCGGTGTTCACGTCGTGATTCAGGGTTCAAACTCGCCTGCAGGAAGCCTCCGCTGTGAGTATCGCAATGTCAAGGGCGGGGTATTGGCAGATGCGATTGGCTACGGGAAAACGGCTTGCACCATTGGCCTCATTGACAAGACGAAGGCCGGTCGCAACCGGGTACCGTTCTCGATTCTCGACTTCTCGACCACACTTCCGAGGATTCATGTCGTGCAGCACGTGCGCTACTGCGTTGTTGCAGCGTGCAGGAGTCCGCCCTCCCGGCAGTTCCAGTGTCTTTCCGAGGCTGGGCGTTGTGGAAGATATTGCTTTTTCAAACGACAGCAGGTTATGAGGAGTTCCACGAACGCTTTGCCATCGCTGAAACTGGTTTTCTTATGTTGTACCAATACATCATCATGTTTCTTCAAGCTCCTTTGTGCCTGACACTGCCTGGAGGCTTCATCCCAAGCCGAGCTACTTTGGTTTTGGTTCCTACGAACCTTCACAAGCAATGGCTCTCGGAGATCGCAAAGTTCACCGGAGATGCACTGAAGGTGATCTCGGTCCCAACATGTTCTCAACTAAAGCGGCTAACTCTGAAGGAGCTTGCCGAAGCGGATGTTGTGGTGTCGACATATAGACTCTTCTACTCCTTGCCGTACTTGCGGAGACTTGAAGAACTGGCACGAGAGAGCTCTTTCGGCTTTGCATTCCCGAAGCAGAAGCTCGGTCAGCATGCAGGAGAAGAGTGGTCGCAGGCGTACCGTGCTGCGTTTGAAGCCCTCCCTGGCTGGGCAGAAAAGCTTGGGATCGAAACAAGCACTCCAAGCAAGCAGCTCGGTTTCACCGGTGATGGCAGCGAGGTGACGGAGGTGACAGGCGATGGAAAGCGCCGAAAGAGCACATCGAGCAAAGCGCCAGACGCAGAGAGCCATACCGTACAGGCCTCCCAAGCCACGGAAGCCACCCAAGCGCCCCAGTCAAGCCAGAAGCGGCGCCGTGTGACGGGAAAGCAAGCCGGGTCTCCGTCGGCTTCTGTTCCAGATGAGCCGCGCGTGACAGACTGGCCAGCCCCAGCATTGCAGACACAGTACGTTCCCTTAGAGGTCTTCTGGTGGAAACGGATTGTTTGCGATGAGTTCCATGAACTGCTCAGCAGGTACCCGCCAGCACAGACTGCAGTCGAGCTGTTCCATGCCGACAACAAGTGGGGGTTGAGCGGGACACCTCCGTGCCAAACTTTGGCTCAGATACGCAAGGCAGCCGGCTTTCTTGGAGTGCAACTTCCCCAGACGCCGGCGGACACAGATAGAGAGGAACCTCGCAAGGTCGCCCAAGAATGGTTGGATGCCTTTGTTCGTCGCAACACCTCCGAGCTGCCGCCTCTGGAAGAGCAGGAGCAAATTGTGCCGGTTCGCCAGACGGTCAAGGAGCGTGCCTTGTACTTGGCATTGACGGAGCAGCAACAGTTGACCCAGGAGCTTGGGCTAACATCAACCCAGAGCCATGATCTTCCCCAACAGATCAAAGCACTGAAGGAAGTTGGCCAGACCACCTGCGGTCTCCTGAAGCTCTGCAGCCATTTCTGCTTCTCCGGGGCATCGGATGTTCTGACCGCAGAAGATGAATGCCAGAAACAGGTCGCGCTGAGGAGGGAGCGCATCCTGAGGGCCGAACGGGACATCAAGACCCAGTCGGAGAGGGTCGCATCCCTGGCACAGCTCATTGGCCACTTCGAACCTCTTTTTGCCAAGCAGCCACACGACGTCAACTGCCCGCACATCGGCAAAGAATCCAAGGCGCCTGCTCCCCCTACTTGTCCTTCTTGTGGTTTCTTTGATATGGTCGCTCCTCATGGCGTCACAGTGCCGCCTGCGCTTTTTGCCTGTCAATACAGTATACATGAGCTGAGATGATGCGTTTTCATTTTTGTTTGTTTTTCCTGCTGTCCTTAAGCGCAGGGTGTCCTGACAGCGCGACTCAAGTTCATGGGAGGCAAGGCGCAGGGCAGCAAGGTGCCATGACGAGATTTGGCATTGGTAAGTGGCGTCAGCAGCTTCAGCTTCACCGAATACTGTAGAGGCCGAGCCAAAGTCCCAAATCTGCGGAAGCCCAGGAGTAAAGAAATCCTCAAGGCCCCTGAACCAGCCTGAAGCCCGAAAGCCCTCAGCTCCGGCACAACCATCCGAATCATCCGAAGCCTTGCACGACGCCTTAGGCTTGATACATCTTTGATGCAGGGAGGTTGGAGCATGTTGGAACATGTCTGGAAGCTTAGCTGCCCTCTGACCGTCGAGATCCGAAGCTTCCGAGCCAAGGCGGAGCTCCAAAAGGCCCTGTTTGCCACGGCCGCGGAGCGCAACGCCGGGCTGCGCAGCCACGCGCTCGCCGCGGGCTTCGATGCAAAAGCTGCAAGTGGCGTGGCAGAAGCTTGGGTTTCTTTCCGGGTTTCAGATGCAGGAAATATAAGACACTTCCGCTGCAAATCTTACATCACAGGCACCCTCATAGCCATACTTTGCAGTCGTGATTTTGCATTATTCGGCATCTAGCACGGAGAGTTCTTGGAGGTGCACGGCGAACATACATGAAACAGCTTGTTGCAACACAAGATGCAATTGGATGGCCTGCTGGTTCCTCCCTGTGGCTAAGGCAAGTTGTCCGCGTCCCTGTACCAGGACTCTGAGCAAGGAGGCAGGGGCATGTGCAAACTTGTCTGAAGAGAGATGCAGCCGCAGCAAGATCATGAGCCGCTTTCAGATCACGCGAAAGGTCTTGCAGAAGTGGAGTGGAAGAAGGTCTTGGATGCGCTCGAGCCGCTTGAGAAAGATGCAGGCCCATGATTTCCAAAAGAAACCTGATGGTGGTAGTTTAGCTGCTTGGCAGATCAAGGAACTGACAGAATCCCAGTGAATTGTTTCCGCTACAGCAGAGGCAGTGCAGCAGGTGAACAAGTTCGAACATAGCTCGTTAGGAGATGTAGAAAACGCTATTTTACTCAATGCAAAAGAAGCGAAGCACTGAGGCGACTGTACAATTGGAGAGGAATTGTACTCAGCAAGAACTCTAGAACCAAAGCGCCTGGACCCCGACGCGATACCTCAAAGAGAATTCTAGGACAAACAGGACTTGCAATTCAAGAGCAGCAGCGTTAAGTTCCTCTCGACAAAACGGCCTTTGTGAGGTGCTGATTCGGCTGCTGCCCGCGTACGAGAAGTGACTTCCTTGAATCTGATGTTGATTTTGAGGTTCCTCCTGAACAGTCGGTTCGCAGTTGCTACTGGTATTTTCTTCGGAGGTGATGAAGGAGTCCATCCTTTCTTTGCCGTGCTGCCCTAAGAGCTCTTCATGCCAGCCAGTGGTAGCTCAACACTTGCAAAGCGCAAAAACATCCTGAAAAGGCGTGATCCACCACCCAGGCACGAAGGGACTGGAGGGTTTCCGGCAGTCATAAGCGCTCTCTTTTTGTCTTTCGTGCAGATGCGTGAAGATGCGAAAGCATTTGGGGATGCCTGCCTGGCCCTGTGGTGGCGAGGAGAGAGCCCAAAACGGTCTTGTTGACATGTTTCTGATCACACGAATTGAGTCCTCCTGAACATGCTCAATATATTGAGTGCAGCCATGAAGCTCAGACTATCCTCATGTGTAAATGCTGCACTTGCAAGATCACCGAAGTGCACTATCGCTCAAAGTGTTCCTTCTGAGGAGCAACAGCGCGAGCTGGCAGTTGAGAACTGGAAATGGCGCAGCATCCGAGAAGCTTGCTTGCAGTCAGTCGTGTTCGAGGTGTTTGCGCTTTGTTTAGGCTTTGCTTCGAGCGCTAGAATCAGAAAGGTTGCATGATGTTGCGATATGGTAGGGAGGGGCCACCTTCACTCTCAAGCTTCCTCAAACATGTGCTACTTCTTCTCGACCTGTTAAGGAGAACGCCCAGAATCTGCAGAAGTTTCTGAAAGCATGGAAGGCAGGGCTGTTGCCTGAAGGCCATTTGCGGAATGGGGGGCTTTTTGGATCTGTGCCAGGAAGACCTCCTTTGCTCGGTGCAGCGCCTGCAGGCGTTGCAGGCACTGAACTTTAGGGTTTAGGGCAGGGTTTAGGGTTTAGGGTTCAGGGTTCAGGGTTTAGGGTTTCGGGTTTAGGGTTTAGGGTTTAGGAGTCGAGTCGTGGATAGCACAGGCCGTAGCCACAGGCCATATTCACATGGTGCTTTTGACATGTCACGACTCTCTTGTGGCGGCCCACAGGTCGGACTGCAGGAGAAGCTCCGAAGTCTGACATCCTTTCAGGAGCCGGGTTTTCAGTGCGAGGTCTTTCAATGCACTGACTACAGGGACTACAGACCATCTTTCCTACGCTGGTGGCAGGACACGCTGCAGGCGTCGCAAGCCAACGCTCTAGAAGAGCTGCAGGATGAAGGCCACACAGCAAGAGTTGTGACAGCTCTGAACCTGACAAGTCCATTCTATCTCACCCTGGCCTGTGCCAGGATCCAGGTTTGCAAAGTATGGGTCGAAGATCGAGACGCTGCTTGAATGCAGGGGACGCTCCCAAGTGCGTGTGCATGCAGATGGGCTCCTAAGGCTTGTGAAGCACTCGCAAAAGATCCAGCTGCAATCTGAGCTTGTTCAAGGGGTAGGGAGTTAGGCCAGAGGTTGAATGCATTGCAACAAGCTGTCAAGCGGGTAGCCTCTGCGCATACGGCTCAAGCCGTTGATCTGACCAATTGTTTTCAAGGAGAGCCAAGTTGTTCACTTAGGAAGGATGATCCAGAAGCAAAGATGATTTGCTTCGTCCAGTGGGAAGACCTGAAGCGAAAGGCCTGCAGTTCAAGTTTATCTTTGCTTTGTCCGAAGATTTGCATGTGTTGACTCGTTTGATTTAAGGCAAGACTGTAGTTGGAGCTTGACTAAATCTGCCAGATCAGCTCAGCGCTGGACGAGTTCAAAGTCCGGGGCCTGCGGAATGCTGTGCCCGGGCTCCTTTGTGGATGTCCGCCTGTTAACATTGCTAATCTCCGAGGTGCCGCACCACGTCCTGCAGGGAAGTGTATGGGCTCGCCAAGCTGCGCTCAGGCAATGCCTTGCTGTGCCTGCACACAGATTGTGTGAATTGAGTATGTGATTCTGGCTAGGAGATTCCAGTATGAAGACTCCGGGCCTCGCATGCTGCTCCTTTCGCTCGAGGAGTCCGCCAGTGGAACCAATCTAACGGCTGCTTGGTTTCGCAGAACAGAGACCAACAAAAAGCTGGGACCCAGCTTCACGAGCTAAGGCTGCCAACCATGTTCTGATTGTTCACCCGATGGAGGTACTTGGGCAGCAAATGCAGACTATCCTCTAGGTCGTCTAGGTTTGCAGTGATATGCATGATGTCAGTCTTGATAGAAAGACCATCCAAGAAAAGGGAACACCCGAGTTTTGAAGCAACCCTTAGATGGCGACATCTGGTGACGCCCGAGGCACATTCACAAGAGGAGGCTGTGGCCTTCGAGATGCAGGCAATGACATGGCCCGACATGGCTGTGATCTGTTCACGTGCCTGAAGTCTGCAGATTGCCTGGGACGCAACAAACACAAGCTGACGAACGTCTGCTTGCTTGATTTTCCTTTTGCATATTTTGGAGAGGCAGTGGGCCGTGTGCGACGCCCCGGACAGCAGAAGAAGCCTCTCGACTTTCAACGCCATCGTGTAGGTTGACTCGTGCAGTTCTGGATGGCATCTAGGATTCATATCTGGCGCTTCGTCACCCTCGACACCATAGAGCAGCAGATCACGGAGGACTGGTGGCCGCTGCCCAACCGAAACCCCCCAAAACGCCTTAACGTCCACTCTCAAACCTTAAGAGCCCGAATTCCTAACTGTCCACAGAGTCTCCGAATTTCTTTGTTGTCACTTTCCCAAATCCTCCTATAAACCCAAGTTTGTGGCTGCCCCCCCCCTTGAGAGAGGAGCACCAGAAGGAGCTCTGGGAGCGCCAAAGAGTCAAAATCCAGGTTTCCGAGGCCGCCGAACAGGAGCCGCCAATGGCTGTGAAAGCTCTTCACAATGTTCCTTTTTTTTTTTACTGAGTTCTGTTTGTCTCGAGGCCTTTTTAGGGGCTTCCGGCTTCAATATGCATGTTTCCTGCCAGGACCCGGAGAGCGACATCGACTGCGATGCTGAGGCCCCCCACGCTTGTGGTCTTCTCTTCTGCGCTCTCTGCTTTTTTTCCTCTCACAACTGCGCGACCAAAAGGCGGATACTCAGAGTCAGGGTGGGATGAATCGAGGGTGGGGAGTTGGTCCCACCTGCCTCTTTTGTTTTGGCTGCTTTGCGCCATAGGTGGATGCTCGCGAAGCGGGAGGTGAGCAGGGAGGAGGCACAGAATGTGTATAAGTTTCTTCTATCTTAAGTTTCTACGGTTCTTTGACTCCAAAAGAGCTGCTTCTCAGAGAACTGCTCTGAGGACATGTGCCGAGCGTGTTTGAGGACTGTACGCAGCGCATGAGACTCGAACTGAGCGGCAAAACGTCACAGGCGCAAAGCTGTTTGCATGCTCTCAGGCTATGTTGCACCCGATGCAGACGCAGTCAAAGGCATTGAGGACCCTGGCTTTCAAGTGTATCTTTCGCTGAGCACGTGTAAAGCAGCCCCAATCTGTATGTAGGTCATCACGGAGAGGTAGACTCAGACGTAAGCATGCAACAGCAGCTCACAGCCTGCTTCAAGGAGGATGATGAAACCGCATCTGGCTGAGTTCAATGTTGAATGCTACCAGTATAGACTGTTCTCGTTCTCGTCTCTGTAGCATGCCCAGGTTATTGACAACAAGGCTTTCGAGCAGCCTCTTGGTATCATTATCATTCATCGGGGAAGCTGCAATGAACCATGTGGCCCACGTCTCAAATATAAATCCCTCATGATCCAAGGACCCAGACCGAAGTCTTGATGGGCTTCTTACCGAAACTTAAGGTTACTGATGTTACCTCAGCTCTACTTTTTGGAAACTTTCAGTGTTCCGCTGATGACAGACAAGGCCTCAGTCCGCGGGAGGATTGTGAAGCTACACAGCGCTATGTGCCATCGTGAGTGAGACTCAGTATGCCAGGGTGGTTCGAGTACAGCCAAAGTATGTGTCTGGGTTACCGCTGATCTGACATGCTGAGATGCTTCCTATGTCTCACTCAGCGATGTCTTGGGCAATGTGCAGGGGAGAGCCACACCACAAGAGGGGAAGGCGAGTGAGACCTGCGATTTGGCCGTCTCATCGCAAAAGAGGACCGCCAAACTTTGCCACCCAACTCCAGCTCCACTTGACTTGGTTTTCCGAATCGAGGGCCAGGTCTGGACTCGCGAGCTGCTGGCCGCCAGCGGCCATCTACACACGTGCTGGGTTTAGTCTTGCAAGAGGTTCTCACGAGCTTTGGACACTCTTCGCCATCGCCGCAACTATGAAACTTTCTTGTTTTAACTTTGAGGGTGGGGGGGCGCTCTGGCCGCTTGACTTCGGGCCACCTCATGTGCTTAAGCGGCTGCGCGTCGTAAGTTGCTGCATTAGTTTTACTGGTGCGGCGTGCAGATTTCTCGGACATTTGTGCCTTTGCAGCCGTTTAGTTCGTGAGTTCCTGTCATCCCAGCTCTGCCAAAGTGCAGCGGATGGAGGCATTTGGTGCATACTGTGCGTGTTCGTTCTTGTTAGGCAACATCGGAACTCCACCACAACCTTTTAGGGCATTTCATATCGATCCTGCGAGTTCCACCTTTTTTGAAGGCATTCCGGACAAAACCTTTGGAAGCGCATGATTAGAGGCGTCATATGGATTTGACAAGTCTGCTCTAGCACGAGAACCGATAGGGGCCGACCTTAAACCGATACCCAACTTCTATAGATAATTCCCACATAACCGATAGGGGGCCGACCCTATTCCACGCGGCAGTCGGGACAGACTAGAGGTTTGGGACCGCTACGCATAAAGATCCTTCGACTGAAGCTGCCAAGGCCGCCCACATCCCGGGGCATGGCAAGGCCATCTCGGCCTCCTCTCAGGCCCCAAGCCTTGCACATGTGGCGCTTAAATACCAAACTCTTGAAGGGCATTGAGGGCCCTTGAAGGGCATTCAAGGGCATTCAAGGGCATTCAAGGGCATTAGAAGGGCATTAGAAGGGCATTAGAAGGGCATTGAAGGAATTTAAAGGGCACTCGGGGGCATTTATGTCATCTGCAGGCTGGTAGCGAGTTGAACACCAGCGCGGGAGGAACGTCCAGGCAGCCTCTTGGTTGCAAGGCCCGTGGATGAACCACCCACACACACTCAGAGACCCGAGTGTTCCTCTGTCTCCTGATATGATGTCCCTCACTCCCTCAGGAATGCAAACATCGAGCGGCGGATCTCCTGGCTGGAGGAGGCCTCCCTTCCGGCATGTATCTGCCAGCTTCTCCAGCATTTTCCAGCTGAGGATGTTGCAGTTCTACATCGTCGAGTCAAGGCCGAGTGCAGCGAAGGCTCGTTATGGCTTTTTGCAAAGCTTTGGGGACCGAGAACGGAACGAGTCAACTGCGCACGTCTGAGCGCTCTCCATCTCCATGTTCACCGGTCCCGTTATTGTTCTTAGGTGCGGCTTGGCTTTTGGCTTGGCTTGCTCTTCAAAGCCTGTACGAATCTGTTCCAACTCAGTCATACGAGCATTGTGTTTGCAGATGGGGGTGGGGGGGGGGGGGGGGGGGGGCGTGCCGTAACCGCCCGTTATTGTTACTGTTGTTCAACACGTCTGCAGGTTTGCTTGACGAGCATCACTTTCGAAAGCCGTGCAAGCTTGAATTGAAGAACATCATGCCATCAAGAGAGGATGATTGCTTTAGAGCCCGGAGGAATCATCTCAAGCCCACCTGTTTTTTTCCGACCCCATCATAACCTTTGTATTGTAAGGGGGGGCTACGCCCCCGTGCGGGGCTGCGTGGGGGCAGTGCGGGGCAGAGTGGCGCGGTGCGGGGCGGTGTGTCAACGGTAAATGGATGATGATGGCCGTGCGCGGGGCTGTGTGCGGGGCTATGTGGGGCCCTGTGCGGCGCGAAGGCAAGAGCAGCAATAGTCTGTATCCGCTATTTGCCATGGCAGCTCCCTCGCATGGCCGGACGCAATAGACACGTAAGCAATCTTCCCACTTAGAAGGTGGTGCTGCCGCTGGAGATTCTGGTCTCCGGGCCCTCGTGGCACGACTGGACGGTCCTCTGCTCGGCTTGCTTCAGTTGACCAGCAGAGGTTGATTGTGTGATATCTGAAAGCTATTGAGGTGGTTCAGGAGGATGGAGTAGCTGACTAGCCGTGACTAGCCAATTCGGTGGCCGGTTTCTGAGCTCAGGTGAACTGGCCCAGGAGAGACGCATGCGGGAGATTCTCGAGGCGAGTCATGGCGAGTCTACTTTACTGCATTCTTGAGAGCAGCCACCTTGGTTTATTTTTTTAATGTTAATTTGCCTAAAAAGTAGACTGAAGAACCTTCACAGCATCTTATGGGGCGTTGCGTAGGAACCTGGACAAGTCGGCTTCGATTTGTGCCTTGTCCAGGCGCGCATGTCCTCGCTGGAGGACAGTCTGAAAACCGAGAGCAAGGATCGTGAGGCAACAGGAGACAGATCTTGTGGTGAGTCGGGCACTGGATAACCTCATGTTTCTGAGCTGAGGGTGTGGAGCAGCTTCGTAGGCCAACATGCAAGTAATGACAACCGAGCTCAACAAGACAGTGGAAGGCTCGGGCTGACAGCAGTTGTCAGAGATGCTGAATGTAGGCCCAACATGGACACCCTACATATGTTTTATTGCCACTTGCAGGCCTCATTCGCTGGGGGCCCAGCCTCCCCCGTATTCCCAGTGGCAGATCCAAGTTTCGTTTCCGCCGCTCTCTTTGTGCTGAACTGGCTCCAAGGCCGCATTGACGACAATTTGTCACTGGGAGCAGCTTCGATGAGAGAGCGCACGGATCAAACCGAGGCAAGTGTCACGGGTATGTTGTTCGTCGTATTCTTATCAGTGAGATACGCCTTCCTTAGCCAGATATGATCCGCTTGTAGAGTATTGGCAACAAGAAGTTTGCTGTTCCAGGTCCGTCTACGCTCCTTAATCAAGAGAGTTGATGAAGGCCTGCGATTTTTGCACCCGAGACTTTGTGCCTGTGCCTTCAGTCTTCCGTGTTATTACATGACCGCCCCAGCCAGTATGTACATGCTTTGTGCAGTAGCATGCAACATCCCCTCTTAAGGGTTGACGAAGCAGACTGCGCGGACAATTGATAGCACACCAGGACTTACAGCCGGTGCGGCAGCCCTTCAGGCGCGGCTGATCTCAGCTGATATGACAGGTTCCACGTTGCGCGGGATGGGTATATGCCACTACTGGATTTCATGTCTTCGCCAAGGTTTGGCCAGGTGTCAAGGCGCAAAGTCTGAAAGAGAAAGGGCATGAAAGAGCATGGCAGGACAGCCTGGGGGCAAGAGATGGCTTTTCGAGCTGCTCTCAGCTTTTCGTACTTGGTCTGGCTCATGTCTGACTCTCTGACTCATGTTGGGCTCATGTTTGCCGACTCCTCGTCCTGAGTGGCACTTTGCAACGGTTCAGGGAAGCCGGGCGGGCCAGCATTCAGCCACGAGCTGTTGGGAGCCCAGTCCAAACCAGTACTGGCAGATTCGACAGTGTTTGTGAGTCAGCAGCACTCAGCATAGGCAGTACACTCACATCACTCGCGTCACGTGGTGTCTGCACTGCTGGCTCTGTGAGCCATTGTGAGGGCGGTGGCCGTGGCAGCGTCTCACCGACCCCGAAGCAGCCGCCGCACGAGCAGCAGCAGCAGCCGCAGCAGCCACAGCTTAGGCAGCCCCAGCAGCAACCGCAACAGCAGCAGCAGGCTCGAATTTTCAATGAAGGGGTTTGCAGAATTTTGTGCAGAATCTTGCTGATCATGTGTTCTGCTGTTCTAGCCATCGTTGATGAACTGACTGATGGATGCTTTGTAGCTGCGAGCTGGGATGGTGGAGATGGCAGACTGCGACTTTCCTTCTAATCTGAAGCCCATGAGATGCTTCCGGCACAGGTAACCGGACAGTCGCAGACTTTGATAGTGCAATTCAGTTGTAGATCACTGCCTCCATGCGTGATGAGCTGAAAGTTGCGAGAGGCGGGTGGCCGGTTCCCATTGAGATCCGCCAGACGCTCAGTCTCTCAAAGGTGCAGTTCCGCTGGAAGTGCAAGGGACTTGGCCCTGCACAAGTTGGTTGCTGACTGATCATACCAATCCGACCTTTGCCGGGCCGTTCTTAGCGACGTTGTGGATCCGTGCCATTCCTTGTACTATGAGGGTGGTGACCCGCGATTGGGAGGCATGAGCCAGAAGCCCGGCATGGGCATACCGGTGTCGTTGTTTCATGCTGTTTCCATCTCAGAACTTTCAGCTACCCAGCAAACTACTCACTTTTTGTACAAGCCCACGTTCATGTGGGCCGTTCAAATGCCCTGAGGAGATGCTAGCTCACCCGTTCCCGCGAGTAGGTGCATCAATCGCAGAATTCCGGAGCAACTTAAACAGGGTCCCTTACACAAGTGCCACGCACACGAAGGCAAACGCCAAAAGAAGCCTGCAACAACGATGACAACGGTTTGTCCAAACTCAGCCCTTTGCTGGCTGGCGGTCTGGCCGAGCGGGATTCCTCCGAACGGGATCAATGGGAATGGGCTGGCAGCTGGGCTGAGGCTACGTGCGGATGCTGTTTCGGCAAGGCTCGATTTCGGCCACAGCGCCTCGTCAAAAGGCGAAAACGCAGTCAAACGGAGCTCAGACAAAAACGCATTCTTTCAGGCGAAAGGTCACGAAAGCGCGCTGTCGTTTTGGTTTCCAACGTATTCCCCCCAAGGCTCAGGAAAGTACCGGGGGGCCCTTCCCCATCGACCGATGTTTGGTCGGCCCTGAGGGGGCCGCTTGTGCCCCCTTTCGCCCTACCCCACCCTGCTGTCATCTCCTGTCTCCTGTGGTGTGGTGTGTGGGTTGGTTTTACGGTTTAGGGGTCTTAGTTTTGGGGGTTTTAGGGTGTAGGCCTTTA